AAGTTGTCATGTTAAAGAAGCCTATATGACAAGGAACTGAGGATTTCCTATTGCCAACAGCTAGCATGTAACTGAGGCCCTCAGTCCAAAAACCCTCAAAGGGTTTGTTGATTTCTGACAACAATCATGTGAACTTAGAGCTGATCTCTCCCCAGTTAAGCCTTCAGATGAGATGCCAACTCTGACCAACACCTTGATTTCAGTCTTCAGAGACTCTGAAGCTTAGGACCCTGCTGAGCCATACCTGGATTTCTGACCCATGGAAAGGATAATGTGCATTGTTTTAAACTACTAAGTTTTGAGTTAATTCATTATACAGCAATAGATGATAATAATACAAGAGGTGATACAAATGTAAAGAGAAGTAAAAACTCTGTAACTCTGAATTAGAAAGAAAAACAAACAGGCATACACAGATATATATCTCCTAGGTCTTGCTATTGAAAAGGCTTGGAAACAATAACCAGCAAAGCAGTGAGCCTTTGCTAGCATTCAATTTGTCATCTTGAAATTCCATATCCCCATAAGGAAATCAGGATTCCCGGGAGAAATGGCTGAGTCTAGATTGGAGGCAAGAAATGTATGGCATGAGACTGAAACATCTTGTCGTATCATAAAGCAAGGGTCTTGAGTCAGAAGTACTCAGGTGCCAAGTTGAAGACCTTCCCACTTGAAGATGGGAAAATTTGAGCCCCAGTAAAGATAATGACAGCAAAGAGTTGAAACACTTCAAGTATGTTTATATCCCTGAGTCTGTAATTATTCTTAAAAAAAAAAAAAAAAAAATTGGTCACCATTGGAGAATGCTAGAGAGCCAAGTATTTTGAAAACATGTAAATAAAGGGAAACAAGTATTTATCCTGCCTTTTCCACATGAACTGTACAACTTGGTAACCACATAGATGATAAGAAAAAGTTTCTTTTAATGTATTAAAATAAACTTTTAATATATTACAAGAAACATTACCTATATAGCAGGGTGCCTCGTGCCTTGGCTGCCTACGAGCTGTGTGACCTTGGGTGAGTGACTTAACCTCCTTGTGCCTCAGTTTCCCCCTCTTTAAAATGGAGTTGACTACACATTTAGATCATGTTTGGGGATTAAATGAATTAATACATGTCAAGCAACTAGAACAGTGCCAGGTGTTTCAGAAGTATCTATTATCATTGTTATATTTATTCCTAAAATGCTGGCATTTATCCAACCACAGTTCTTGGCACCCCTTGCACCATACACCTCCAGTCACTCCTGGGCTTTAGCCTGGAGCCCAATGTGCATCCCCACCCTGCATCATCCCACTCACCCTAGGACTCACAACCTCACTCACCATGGGACGCACCCTGAGCTGAGCCGATCTTTAACAGAGACTCTTCCAAAGCCCTTGGGCACCTTGACACCTGGGCAAGTCCTGCACCACTGACCCACCTTCTGCTGCCTCCTTAGGTGGCTTGGAGAATATTTCATGTCATTAACTTCCTCACTTTGAGCCCATCTAGGGCAAAGAGGCAAGTGGGAGACTCTCTTCCTTACTCCCCAAACATCCTGGGACCTTCTGTTTAGTTCTTTTCCAATTCCTAACCACTCCGGATCCCACCCCACCCCATACACCACTTGCCCCACAAATGGATTTACATGCTTTACCTGTATTGCTTTACCTCCTGAGATTTCTCTCCTCACCCACCTAACCTTCATGTCTTTCTACAAGAGCACAGAGAGGTGAAGTAACTTGTGCACAGTCACACAGCTAGATAGTAACAAACTATAGCTATGCTATGCTACCAAGTAGCAAACTTAACTGTGTCTTCACTTTCCCAGCCCTTCCTTCCCATGACGCTGCCCTTTCCCACCCTCACTGCCCAGCCTCTCACACCTGACCTGCATTAATGCACCTGACCTACCAGGTTTCTTCCTCTTGTATACCAACAGGTTATCCCCCACATCCCCTCCCTCCAGTGCTTTCAGGGCACAACTACTCATTCAAAATAATTACTCAATACCTGTTTATGTGGCATTACGTTTGGCTTCTACATAAGGAAAAAAAGCATAATAATTACCCAGATTAGAAAAAAAAATTCCAACAAAAGAACACTAGATGGGGAATCATTCAGTCTTGAATGCAGACCTTTGCCACCTCACAGGCATGTGACAGTGAGCAATCACTTTTACTTCACTGTGCTCAGTTTACACAATAAACACGTATGGCAAACACCTGTGCCTTCCTCTTCTAGGTTGATTGTGAGAATCTGTTGACAACCTCAGTGGGAAAACTATTTTTATTCCATACCTTAGCCTTTGCACTGGCTCACCTCTTCCTGGAACATCCTTCTTCTAGATAGCATCGAGCTGACCCCCACTTCACCTCTTCATCTTAGTTTAAATGTCTCCTCCTCAATGAAGCATCCCTGACCCCACCTGCACCATATAATGAAATCTTACTCCTCCTCACACTGCTCCACTTTCTTCTGTTTCAAAAGCACTTCATCACCTTCTAATATACTACATAGTTATTATGATTATTGTCTATTATTCTTCTCTCCTGCTAGAATGTAAACTTTGTGAGGGCAGGACCTTTGTCGGCTCTGCTGATGTATCCCAAGTTCCTACAGTGGTACCCACTGGCCTAACAAGTGCCCCATGGATGTTTGCTGATTGACAGAGTGCCCCTATCCACAGTCTGAGCCTCCCTTCTTTAGGTCTCTTGGTGCTCCTCTAATTACAGGGGCACTGAAAATCCTTCTTGTTACTGTTAATGAGGCCAAATGCAGGAGGTAGTGGCAACTACTACAACACTTTGGACCAGATCAGTGAAAGAGAATCTGGAAAACAACAACAACAACAAGAAAAAATAAACAAACAAAACCCAAACATTCCCAAATTCTCCCTTCAATTTTCTCTTTACCACAGGCATGCCCATTTGGGCCCTTTTTACGTCCCTCTCTCTCCCCTCCTCCTCTCTTACTCATTTGGGATGTCCCTCATTCCCTAAATGTTCCTCCTTCACCCTTTTGTCTTCCATTTTGTGGCTTTTTCCTCTGTGAGCTTTACTTTGCTTTTCTGAGTAGGTGAGAGAGAAAGGGACTGTCTGAGCACTGGGGTTGGAGTCACAGAAGGACCATGCCAGGCTTCAGTGTTGAAGGTAAGTGTGGCATGCCATAGCACCATATATGAGGAAACCTCAGCTGGGACCTCGTTCCTTTGGTCCAGGCAGTTCAGAGAGCCCAGGAGAGGACTGGGGGTGTGGACTGGCAGATCTGCATGGTGCTGGTAAACATGCAACAAACAGCCCCTTTCCTTTCGCCCTGCGAGTTCATGCAAGAGGAGCAGAAGCTCTGTAGAAGTAGCTTTTTCCTAAAGTAAACATTTATGGGTCCTGTTTAGATTGCCTGGATAAACATTTAGCTCTATTTGCCTGTTCCAGAGCAGAGGACGCTGCCTTGCTCTACAAACTCATCTCAACCCACTTGCCCATTGCACTTCACAGGCATCTCAGTCCTCTTAGGGTGGGACAGGCCGTAGGTCAGTGAGGGGAGCACAGGTTTAGGGACTACCTACTGATGTAGAGGTTGCAAGTGGAAGGATGGAAAAGAAGCTATTAATTGCTTGGTGCCTCTAGCATATTAAAAGGATCATACTAATCCTCAGGGTAGTCTGGGACCTTGATACTCAAAGTGCACTCCATGAACCAGCAGCATCTGAGGCACCTAGGAGCACATTGCTCATTTAAAAGGTAGGTTCCTGGGCCCCCTTCTGACCTTTTGAATTAGGAATCTGCATTTTAACAAGATCTCAAGTGATTTGTAGGTATTATAAAATTTCATAAACACTATTTCAGAAAATCTGAATTCAGCTAATTGCTAATTGTTCTATTGACAAATAAAATAGTAAGTGATTTTTAAAGAATCGTTTATGGTTCCTAAGCCATGAGGAAAAAAAATACACATATATATGTATTCTTTAACACTTTAAAAATAAACTTCAAAGACAAAAGTTTAGGGCAGAACAGTTTTAAGCTCAACTTTTATTTCCTCTCTTTTGAAATATTCTGATTTAGGTTTTGACTGGAGAAAAGAGTAACAATGTCAGCAGAGGCATTTCATATCCTAATTTTAACATGATACTTAAAATTCTACCTACATTTGTTAAATGGTATTATTTCTTATGTAAATTATAATGTACATTTATTGAGAGCTACATTTTAAGTACAAGTTTGTATTTATTTAATCTTATGTACCCTATGAGGAAGGTACTGATGTCATCCTCTGTTTTACAGATGGGGAGGCTATAGCATAGCAGCATTTAGATAAGTTGCCTAAAGTCCCATAGCTCACAAACGGGGAGGAAGGATTTGAACTTGGTGCCAGAGCATATGTTTAACCCTAACAATAAATGTCTGAGCATGCTGGTCTCCCTAGTAAGCAGCAAGCTGCCCAAGATATCAGACTTCTTTTCTTTATAAAACTACTTCAATGATGCTGCTTGCAATGGCACTCAAAGTTGCTGACCAACCCCCAAAAAAAGAATAATGCGGACATAAAAGGCTATGAATTAAAGAGGTACCTTGTGAAGAACAGAGGTTTTAAAGTATCATCTTATTATTTGTAACAAAAATGGAAAACTTAAATACAGTAATGACCAGCATTGAGAATTTGATATGAATCATCAACATAGTTATGTTGATATGTATATACTACGTTGATGATTCATATCAAACTCATTAACATGATATCAACATATATATTGATGATTCATATCAAAAACATGAGTTAGATATGAAATGAGACGTAGATTTCTATTTTTTTTTTTGAGATGGAGTCTCGCTCTGTCACCCACGCTGGAGTGCAGTCGCGCGATCTCGGTTCACTGCAAGCTCCACCTCCTGGGTTCACACCATTCTCCTGCCTCAGCCTCTGGAGTAGCTGGGACCACAGGCGCCCGCCACCACGCCTGGCTAATTTTGTGTGTGTGTGTGTGTGTGTGTGTGTGTATTTTTAGTAGAAACGTGGTTTCACCATGTTAGCCAGGATGGTCTCGATCTCCTGACCTCGTGATCCGCCTGCCTCGGCCTCCCAAAGCGGTGGGATTATAGGCGTGAGCCACCGCGCCTGGCCGAGACATAGATTTCTAAACCATTAAAACTACAGGTTTTATACTATGGATAATGCTGCTTACAGAAGCTATCTATCACATTCCTAGGGGAGACCATAGCAATGATTTCCTGTGGGAATGTGGACGATTCTTATTCCCAAAAACCTTATGTTTGTTTAAAACGTCACTCTTACAGAAAAAGATGCACCTCTGAATATCCTTTGATTTTAGCCAATCTTTTTTTAAAAAGTATACATAGATACTGGTCTTTTAGAATTGTTCAATGCTCAGTATTGCTCAAAAACAGCCCCTCCATAACAATTTATTTCCAGATAAGATTTGGTCCCTTTAAAGGAAATCATTAGAAATGGACCAAAGGATAGGGAATAAGAAGGCCACCCAGCAACCCCCTACAATCACAGTCATCCACACAGGAGGCACCAACACCTGGTTTGTAGACAAGTGGTTCACTGCAATGCAAAATAAATTTTATGTGAACAGAATAAGCCACTTGAAAATCTTACTTTCCAAGATGGCCCCATTTAGGGGTCTGAGGGTCCACAGAATTAGTCTAGTTCTGGTGGAACAGTACAGATTCTAAAATGCCTAATAAGGTTGCAATGTTGACTGAAGGCTTTTCCAAACTCATCACACTCATGTTCTCTCTCCAGTGTGGATTTTCTGATGTTTCTTAAGAAGGGCCCGCTTACTAAAGAGTTTACTGCACTGACTGCACTGATAGGGTTTCTCACCAATGTGGACTCGGAGATGCTGGAAAAGCCCTGCATTCTGAATGAAGGCTTTGCCACACACACGACACTGATAGCGCTTCTCTCCAGTGTGTATCCTCTGATGCTGAACAAGGCATGAGCTGAGAAGGAAAGCCTTTCCACACACTTTGCATTCATATGGTTTTTCCCCTGTGTGGATTCTTCTGTGTCTAGTGAGGCCATTGCTGGCACTGAAGGCTTTCCCACACTCCTTACACTGATAGGGTTTCTCTCCAGTGTGGCTCCGCCGATGTTCATTCAGGCTTGACCTCCGGCTGAAGGCCTTCCCACATTCTTCACATTCATATGGCTTCTCCCCAGTGTGGATTCTCTGGTGCTCAATGAGTACTGAACTCTTAGTGAAGCTTTTCCCACATTCATTGCACCTGTGGCGTCTCTCTCCAGTGGAATGTCCTTGCTGCTTTTCTGCCCTGCTGTCTTGTTTACAAGTTTCTCTGTACTTAGAATCCAAAGATACGTCTCTTTGGAGTCTGCTATCCCGCAAATGTTCCATTTCTTTTAAGATTTCTTGCTTTGATGCCAACTCCTGGTTCTCAGGTGTACTTTCACCATCTGGAATAATAAATGGACCAAACAATGTAATCTCTTTCCTTTATGAAAGAACACAATCATAGGATGGAAATAGAAAGATCCATATCAAACAGACATGTTCTAGGAATGAAGAACTGCCAGTTAAGGAGGGGATTGGGTTAAACAGGGATGTTTAAGCTAGTAGAGTAAGGTCATCAGCACTGCTGAAATGGCTGGAGGGAGCACCCAGAGGCTCCCAGAGAGGATGCACATAAGCAGGCACTATATTATATTCATTACAAGGCAGGCACTGTTCTAAGTGTTTTACATATGTTAATTTATTAAATCTCAAATGACTCTGTGACTGACGTGCTATGATTATCTCCACTTAAAATATGCATAAACTGAAGACACCAGGAGGTTACCTGACTTGTCCATCGTCACAGAGTTATTAAATGCAGCGTTTAAATTCCAACCCAGGCAATTTAGCCCCAGAGTTCACAGTCTTAACTATTGCCCTATATAGACCCGCCAGAGATCTCCTGAAAGGACCTGTCAAAATCCTTACCTTGTTCTCGAAATTGGTGGAGGCGAAAAGATTCATATTTGAGCTGTGTCACCATAGGCTGAAGCTGGATGTCTGTTGGTTCCTGCTTGACCTTCAGATGTTCCACCTCCTCCGAGAGCACTTCAGAATGTCCATGTTCATGGTCTAGAGCCTGAAGGCAGGTAGGCACATTTGGTTCATAAGAGGGGGATTATAGGAGTCCAAGCTAATATGAAATGAAAGATATCACATGGAACTATATGAAACATTTTCTAGAGAGATGTCACAGTGGAAGGACCAGAGTTTAATTCCATACCCAAAAGTAAAACAGGGAAGAGTGGCCCAATTTAGTATGGTGGTTTAAAATAAATCCACCAGGTAGAATCGAACTGCCCACCCCCAGCCCCCTGAATGTGGACTATACTTGATAGCTCAACTCTACTGAATAGAAAGTGAGGCAGAAGAGATGGTATATAACTTCTGAGTCATAAAAAGCACTGTGGCTTTTTCCTTTCTCTCTCTTTCTCTCCTTCTTCCCTCTGGAGGAAGCCAGCTGACATGTTGTGAGGGCACTCAAGCAGCCCCATGAAGAATACCAACATGGTAAAGGGCTAAGACCTCCTGCCAATAGCCGGTGAGGAGCTGAGGCCCCCTACCAACAACTGTACCAGTGAACCATCTCGGAAGTGGATCCACCTACCTGAATCTTGTCTTCAGATGACTGTAGTCTTGGCCATTAAGGTTTAGGGGTAATTTGTTACACAACAGAGAACTAATACATATAGCTATAGCCAACCAACCTGTGTCACCAAACCCCACCTTTCATTTAGTATTTAATGTCTAGAAGTCCATCTTTGTCCTCTCACCTGGTTCCCTGGCTCACTAAGCTCTTGTTCCAGATCTTCGACTACAGCCACAGCCTCCTCCCCACTCTCTGGATGGTGCTCCCGCACCCAGGCCTGGAGCTCCTCAGGCAGCATAGTCAGGAACTGCTCCAGCACCAGCAGCTCCAAGATTTGCTCTTTGGTGTGGATTTCTGGCCTTAGCCACTGATGACAAAGTTCTCGGAGCCGGCTCAGAGCTTCTCGGGGACCAGGAGTCTCTTGGTAACAAAACTGCCTAAAAAGTTGTCGGGAGGCTTCTTGGCCAGAAAAGTTGTTCACTCGAAGGTGGGCTTCTTGATCCCAGATAGGGTCTTCCTCCACTTTCACAATCTTAAGATCGTACTGTTCCTCTTTTGAAGCCATTCCTGGGGTTAATTTAGAAGGCTCACTCTGGCTTTAGGTGAAAGGATAACTGTGATTTAAAATTGTCTGATTTAATCTTCCTTAGAAGACACCTGATGATAGAACATTATATATTAATGGAAATAAATCATAAAGTAGTGGGGAAAAAAGCAAAGTATGGAAATATGAATGGTATTCTATCATTTATGTTAAGACAATGTATATATAGTTACTGACTTACATATGTTTAGCAACTGGGAAAAGGCTATTCCAGAATACGTTAAAGGCCTCAATTCTTCCCCCTTCCCTGTAGCCATGTATTAATATTTTGCAGTGCCCTTCCATTGTGACACTGAATTCAACAATATGACTTGATTTTGCCAATGATAATAGCAAATGTGATGCATGCAGAGGTTTGAACAGTACTTGTGTAACTGGGTTTGCTTACTCTTGCCCTCTGAAATTGCCAGAAGAAGGATATTTTTTCAGATGATAAGAGACATATAGGACAGAGCCAGATCACCCCAGTGGAGTAGATGAGACCATCCTAGATTAGTTGACAGCCAGCTAACTGCCAGACATGTGAGCAGGCCTAGCCTGAGGTCTGCAGAGCTACTGAATGCAGATGTATAAATAGGGCCTGCCCACCCTAGGTAAGCTATGCCCCATATACTCACGTGCTATACATAAGTTTATCACTATATGCCACTAATGTTTTGTGGCTATTTATTATACCACATTATTATGGCAACAGATAACTGATATAGAAGGGTGAACCTCTGGGAAGGAGAATTAGGTAATGGTGGAATAAAAAAGCAAGAGATATTTACTTTTTGAGCACAGACATGATGCTAAAAGGAAATGCTCATTGCAGCATTTCATATTTCATATTTTCAGATTATGGATCTGTTAAGTTTAATGCAAATATTCCAAAATCCAGAAAAATCTGAAATCCAAAATACTCTGATCCCAGGGGTTTTGGATAAGGGATACTCAGTCTGTAGAAGTGATTTAAAGGCCTGGGCAATATGTTTATATGGTAGATCTAGGAGGAGAACAGGATATATAAAACTAGATATAATATCAGATGATTAATGCTATAATAGAGGCCTCGCCAGAATATTCAGGGAGTAAAGAATAGAAAAAATAATTTCTGACTGGGTATGGAACATTGAAAGAATATGACTTAGGGGCAAGTACATTTGAATTAGGCTAAAATCATGAACAGGAATTTATCAGGCAGAGAAAGGAAGGGATCCGCCATCATAAATCAAGCAAACAACATGAGGAAAGGTATTTAAGGGCACACACAACGGCGATAAGGACAGGCAAAGCTGAACTATAGAATATGGGTTGTGGGTAAAAATGTGAGAGATGAGGTTAAAAAGATCCACTGGGGTGATCTGGCTCTGTCCTACATGTCTCTTATCATCTGAAAAAATATCCTTCTTCTGGCAATTTCAGAGGGCAAGAGTAAGCAAACCCAGTTACACAAGTACGGTTACACAAGTACTGTTCAAACCTCTGCATGCATCACATTTGCTAATATCATTGGCAAAATCAAGTCATATTGTTGAATTCAGTGTCACAATGGAAGGGCACTGCAAAATATTAATACATGGCTACAGGGACAGAAAATGGCCTTCAATTCTAGGCTGAGACGTTAGACTTTACTATATGGAACACTGAGAGGCCAGGCTTTTATTTCATTGTCATGGTGTTAGATCTGTATTTTAAAAAAATATTGAGTAAGATTCAGGATGGAAATGGTAAGAATATGTTACAGGGTTGTGGCCTTTTAAGTTGGGAAGTTTAATAGTAGTTACACTAATACAATGTTGACTTTAGTGGTGTAATTTAAGTTTTATCTGACTTTTGCCCAATGCTAATGGAATCATTAAGGTCTGAGAGCACTTGGAAGTTTTTCAGTTACACTTTATTGGGTGAAAATGCATTTATTCCATTCATTCATATATCATGTGTCTGTTAGGTATCTGGAATAGTGTTGAGGTGCTTAGTTCAAAATGGTGAAAGGAAAGGTCCCTACCTTTATGGTATTTACCGTGGGAAAGACAGACTTTAATAAAATATTCACATAAAATTATGTTACAGAATTGAGAATTTGAAGAGTTACAAAGACCATGGCATTTATTCTTTGTCAATGTCCAAGGCGAAATATATATCTTTTTACTCCTTACTGTATTATCTGATAATTTGGTTTATTGAGTCTTCAGTTCAGGAAGACTGAAAGTCTGACAATTTCTAATTATGAATTTGCATTGGATTCCATTATTATTAAACATGTAGCTTCTCATGGCCTTAGGTTTATAGTCAAAAATTGTTCTGCAAATATGGGTTCTGCACTTTAATGCTATTGAGAAACCATGGAGATACAGCTGGCTCTTTTTATTTTGTTTTTTTGTTTTCTGGATCACTACAGGCAATCTCTCACATACCCAAAGCCACAGGTGGAGTATTCCTCCATCAGTTGTATTTTTCTCCCCACAATTGGTGCTTAGGATTTACCTCCTGGTCTTATGCCACCATGAACTGTCTTTATCCTTAATGCATAGCACAGTGCCTGGTCCACTGTCAGTGCTCCATAAATGTTTTCCAGGCAAATAAATATATTCTCCCCTCCTATATCCCCTTTCACTTCATCAAGCCATGGTAAGGACAGGGAAGGGAACACGGAAGGGAAAATACACTCTTTATTCTCGTCCCCCAAACCACCCCTGTTCCCAGGATGTATATGCATTACCCTATGTTCCCCAGTCCTCCCATCTCTTCCTATCTCCTCGCCCAAACTGCTACAGATTACAGACACTTCTTATTTTTAAAATGCCTAGAGCACTTAGACGTCTGGACTTGCCACAAAATTATGAATGCATCTTCAATGTTTTGTTTACCTGATTTATTTGATTAAATGCAAATTTGGTGTCATCTGATATCCTAGCAGGGAACAAATACTTGATAGACATCTGACGAATTAAATGGAATAAGCTATTTAAAATCATCTTTAGTGAAGCACTGCAGTACAGTGAATAATGTTCATATCCTGTGACCTCTCTAAGCAGTAATGACCATAGTACTCCTCTTGTGTTGTGATTATACAAGGTAATGCATATAAAAAGCTTAGCACAGCACCTGGCCCATAGCAATTATTACATAGATATCAATGAGCAGGTATTATTAGTAAAGTAGTATTAGTAAATTGAGTATCTTCATTTCATAGAGGAAATAAACCCAACAAAATAAAATATTGACGTCATGTGTTAATACTCAGTGGACAGTTGAAAATACTAGAAGAAATATTCAAGAAAAACCAGGACAGACAGTGACCAGTGGTGACCTCCCATTTGTGTACTGAAGCCCATCTCTAGATCCCACCAGGGGTATCCCCCTGAACATCCCAACAACAGCTGAAAAGCAACATTAAAAATCGGATTCATTTTTCCAGGGTGATATGAAACAGGCCAATTTATGACTAACTACCAATTGACTCCAAACATTTGGCATTGGAAGATGATATATAAAAGGGTATAAAGAGAAAGATATGGCCAGCTACAAATACAAGACAAAAATCTCAGTGGACCAGAAACAGAAACACTGAGTAGTTAGTGGAGTTGATGCTGTGGGCTAACTGACTTGACTGCAGAAACAGTCAAAGTCATCCTAGAATTCAACTCCTGGAGGATTAAATGTGGTATGTCTCAGCTTATAGGGAACCAGGCTCACTGTTTCATGCCAGGGCATGAAAGGGGGATAAAAAAATAAAAGGCAGTTGACTGCTGACTCAACTTATGACTTTATCAGCAACTAAGGCTCAGGAGGCAAGGGACAAGGAGAGACTCATTACTAGTAACTGATCCATTTACTTGCTCATTTAGTCAATAAGTGTTCACTGAGCACCCATAACATACTAGGTACTTGGCTGGGCACTAGGGCTACAATGGTGAAAAAGATGGGACCAGGCCCTGTTTTGCTGGAGTATATATTTTAACAGGGAAGACAAACTGAAAATAAAAGCAACAACAAAAATAAGTAAGGAGGCAAATAAAATAATTATGAGTTGTGATGATTACTTTGAGGAAAATAAACGAGGCACTGAGTTACCAAATACATGTAGCCTGTTTAGATGAGGTAGTGGGAGGTGAGGTAACATTTAAGCTGAGCGCTTAAGTGCAAAAGAAGTGAGCCATACAGAGTAGGGATGAGGGAGGGGAAGAGCACTCTGGACTATACAAAGGCCCTGAGGAAGTGCATGCTGCCATCAAAGACAGGAAAGGAGGCTGGAGTGTCTACAGTCATGTGGGAGAAGAGTGGCAAAATATTAGGCTGGCAAGACAAGCAGGTGTCAGATCATGTAGGGCACAGGAGTTAGGATTTTATAAATGCAATAGAGAAACCACTGAAGGCTTTAAGAAAGGAAGTGACAAGGCTGAATTATGTACTGAGAAGCTCTGCTACTGGATGGAGAATGAGCTGAGGGAATGAGGGTAGAGGCAAGAGTGGAAGAAGAAAGCAAGAGTAGAAGCAGAAGAGGCAAGAGTTGAAAAAAGGGTAAAGTGGAGAGGGTGAAGGCTATTGCACTGAATCTGGAAAGACTTCCACTTAGTTTAGATGTTACTGTACACATGAAAGGAGAAACAGCTTAACCTTTGTAAAAGCAGTTCAGTCACTGGACAATTAATGTATGGAGCTGTGCTAAGAGCTGGGAATACACAGGTGTTTATAGCTCATGAGGATATAATTACAATACAATAAAATAAAAGCCATAATTTGAAAAATGTATACAAGGTATACTCCTGGAGGAAGTGGGAGAGCTCATCCTAAATACAAGATTAAGTTTCTATGCATTGCCTGTAATCCACAAAGGAATTCATTTCACAGATATTTACTGTCTATGAGGTGTCAGACAGCAAAGAGTGAAACAATGCAGAGTTTGATGTGTCCCCATTGTCCTTCACTGAAATAAAAACATGGCAGAAAGAGCATAGAAGAGAATGTTTTCATTCGTGAGAACGTTATCTCACTTCAGCATAATTAGCAACAGCAACAAAGAGATCATGTAAATCACAAATCATCTGTGTTGTAAAATACATCCCAAAGGATAACCAAGTACGATGACAAGAAAACAGAGGAAGAACTTAAATACCATGAGGAAACTGTCAAATCAAAAATTGGGGATGCACTACAGGAAGACTGGAAGAGCCTCCTTTTCAACAAGGCAATGGGATGGGAGGAAGGGAGGCAATGGGATGGGAGGAAGGGAGGCAAAGGGTAAAATTGCCCTAGATTAAGACTTAACTACATGCAGTGAGTGGTCTATGATTGGATGCTAGTTGGTACAAACAGGTGTAAAAGGCATCTGTGGAACAACAGGGGGTGGAGGGATTTAAACATGAACTAGGTGTTAGGTGAAGCGCCTACACTTAGTTGGGTGTGCTAATAATATTATGGTTATGTAGGGAAATGTCCCTAATTTTTAGAGATGCATTAGAAACTAGAGGTGACAAGTTATGAGGTTTGTGGTTTTACAATATTTAAAGAAAACATTATATGCGACAAACATTGCATAATGTTGACTTATTAAATAAAAGTTACGTGTATATAGGAAATAAGGCTTTTGAATAAGGCTTTTGACAGGGAGCGACGTCCACCCCTTCTCTACCTCTCGACCTCGGTTTCGTTGCTAAAGCTCCGCCCTCTCTAGGGGTCTTTCCCACCACCCTGTGAAAGGAGCTACCTAGCTTGCCTTAGGTAGATAGCAAGGGAAGGGCCCCTGGAGAGCCCGCCCCCGTCCATGGGTCAGTGTCTCATCTCCACATAGCATAAAACGCAGCCTGGGAAAAAATTCATGTTGCAGACACCGATAAGGGAACTAGCACAGGGTGTTGTGCCTATAGATATGCCCACGGTTGCACAGATAGAAAAACCTCGGGCCGTTTGGATAAAAACTTGCACAGAACGTCCAGCTCACTCAGATAAGGGAACAAGGCCTGGCACATAATGCCTTTGTCCTTTGTATAGTCAGCAGGTTCCCAGGAAAAGTTTCTTCTCCTTTTGTGGGTATGGGCACGGTGGGCTCTGGTAGGTTCCGGCGGGCGCTCTACTTTCCTTCATTAGCACGATAAGCCCAACTACTATGAATCATTGCCTCAGCCCCTGATTGGTCTGGGCCAAGCTTTCATTTCAGATTCTGATAGGTCCTGGGCCAAGCTAAGCCGCATCTATGAATCATCATTTCAGCTCCTGATTGGTCCTGGGACAAGCTCAGTCAAGCGTTCGCCAAGACACCCCGCAGACTAAGCGCATTCTCCTTTCCAGTTCACAAAAACTTCAGAACGGGCCCCATAGTGGGTACTCCCGGTCGGGAGCCTATCTCTGCTGGCAGAGAGCTTTTTCCTTTCGCTTATTAAACTTTCGCTCTAACCTCACCTTTTGTGTCTGCGCTCCTTAATCGTCTTGGAGGCAGGACAAAGAGCTCCGGGCGTTATCTCAGACAAGGAAAGGCTGTTTAACCTTCAGGATCAGGGGCGGGACCTCCACCTACTCCACCGGGACTTCAGGCCAGTGAATGTGTAGGGGCGTGGGTCACGCCTGAGCAGACGTTCCCTCCCCGCCTACTTCGAGGCACAGACATGAAATGTTCCGGGAGCCTGGCGGGTCGCGACCAGGGACCAAGACTCACCTTCGGGGCACCGGGAAGCTACGGAACAGGTGGCAGGGCTGCAGCACCCCAATGACCGATCAACCGCAAAGGCCGGAAATGCGTCAGCCGTTCTGAGCCCACTGGCTGAAGCCAGGCAACTCTTTCCTTTCTAGGAATTCCAGAGGTGGCTGCATCTTGGTGACTCCCTTATTGCAAAACCCGGGGCCAAAAATCCCAGCCTCACTGGTTACGAGGCGGAGAAATGCGGCGAGGGATTTCTATGGGGAGCGGCCCCCAGCATTTGGGAGCTAGATGGTCATCGAGACGCAAAACATTAGAGCTGGAAGGTGTTAGGAAGATATAAAGGAAGAGAGCGAGTAACAGGAGGCAATTCCACGGCCAAACAGGTTTATTCACAGGAATAAGCCTGCGAAGAGTTCCAGTCAGGAATCTGGCTGATACTCTGATCGCTTACAAGCTGAGGCTTTTATAATAAATTTCCTATTGGGGAGGGGTTGGGGAAGTGCTGGCCAGTTGGAACTGTTTGCAGACTTTCCAACTGGGGACAGATGTGGTTAGGGTCATTCGGCTCTGTTGCGGTTAGGGCTGTTATGCTCTGTTGAAGCTGAGAGCAGGGTTAACATTTGCTTTGTTTCTTGAGAACACAGTCATCAAGGTTGTAAAATGGCATCACTATTGTTAGTCCATACAGAAGAGATTTCATACTTTTTCTGTCTCTAATACTTACCTATGCTTCTCCTAGTCTGTCCACTTCCTCTGGTCTCTTTGACATCACAAAGGGGAGATGGTAATAGTGGGGACGAGAATACAGAGTTGTTTCTGTTGTGGTCTTGTTATTTCGTTTTTTACTCTCAAACCTCTGTCTTCTGGAATCCCAAAGTCTAGAAGAAGAGCGTGTAAACAAGTAACTACGTAAAACTGATGCATGTGAAATGAAGTAAAATAAAATCAGTGCTTGTAAATCGATGAGGATAGTCTCTGGAACATATAAAATGCTAAGTACGTATGTAGGAAATAAATGTATGTATTAGTTTGAATTCGTGGCTGGAAGAGAAAGGAAAACTAATGGGGCAAAACAAGAAGCAGCAGGAATCTGCCAGTGTGCACTGGAAAAGGAGCAAAGGAAATAAATTTCTGGGAGAGGGAATCAAATGTACAAAAGCAGAACTGGGGTGAGATCCTTTGGTACATCCACAGAACTGGGCTGATCAGCATGACTGGAGAGTGGAATATGTGGCAGGGGCACCAGCTCTTACTTTTTTTGGATCCCTAACCAAGGAATTTGAGCAATCTGATGAAATTTACATCTAGAAATGTTATATTGGCAGCCATGTGGGGATGGACTGTAAGGAAATGAGTCTACAAGCAGGGAGACCAGCTAGGAGACTACTACAAGAATCCAGGGTAGAGAGACTGAGGGCCTGAATCAAGGCAGTAGCAATAGAAATCGAGAAGACAGATAATACATGTTAAGAGGTTGAATTGATTTTTTACAATTCATTCATTCCATATATAGGAAATCCATATATAGATTTCCATTGAATGCTATCTTTGTGCCAAGGGCTTGCTGGATATAATAATAATGAAGGACACAAGGTCCTCATCCTCATGGGGTTTATAATGTAATGAGGAATACAGACAGAGGGAGATCCAGTTTATACAATTCAAGAGACCCTACTTGAGAAAAAGAATTCAAAATTACAAGGACAAACATAGGTATGAAAATGGAGATTTAGGTCAGGCGTAATAGCTCACACCTGTAATCCCAACACTTTGGGAGGCCAGGATAGGAGGATCTCTTGAGTCCAGGAGTTCAAGACAAGCCTGGGTGACATAGTAAGACTCTGTCTCTACAAAAAATAAAAAATATTAGCCAGGCACAGTGACTCATGCTATTAGTCTCGGCTACTGGGGAGGCTGGGCAGGGAGAATCAGCAGTTGTAGTAGCCATGATCATGCCACTCCACTCTAGCTTGAGTGACAGACTGAGACACAGTCTCCAAAATTAAAAATATATATATAAATTTTAAAAAAAGAAAAGAAAGAAGGAAAAAGAAAAAAAATGGAGATTTAGCATGGAAAATGGGCCAGGCATGGTGGTTCACGCCTGTAATCCTAGCACATTGGGAGACTGAGGCAGGCAGATTGCATTAGCTCAGGAGTTCAAGACCAGCCTGGGCAACATGGTGAAACCCCATCTCTACCAAAAATACAAAAATTAGCCAGGCATGGTGGCACATGCCTGTGGGTCTGAGGTGGGAGGATTGTTTGAGCCTGGGAGCCGGAGGTTGCAGTGAGCTGAGATTGTGCCACTGCACTCCAGCATGGGTGACAGAGTGACACCCCATCTCAAAAAATAATAATAATAAATAATAAAAATAGAATGGAAAATACATTCTTTATATCACATTACAATTTTTTTTTGAGATGGGGTCTCATTCTGTCAACCAAGCTGGGGTGCAGTGGTGTGATCATAGCTCACTGCAGCCTCAAACTCCTGGGCTCAAGCAACCCTCTTGCTTCTGCCTCCTAAAGTGCTGGGATTAAAGGTGTGAGCTGCTGCCACCACACTCAGCCATACTACAGATTTTAAAGTCTCCCAAATATCACAAACAAAAATCAGAAAAATAACAAAATATTTTTATTATTTAACTGCCTGACACCTATAGTAACTCTCCCCTAATTTGTTGGCTTTATGTTTTTGGACTGCTTCTTCATATGTTAATTTCATAATTTAAATTTTTCTAGAAAGAATAAAAAGTTAATGTAGCCTTTCCTCTAGCATAGTTGATCAAAAGCTTTTTAAAATTGTTGACATTTGAGTAAACTTCTATCAAGTTTCTTTCAATTATGACCTACAAGATTTCAGGACGTTAAAATTTTTTTATGTGGGGACTAATCTGAGAATCTCTGTGTTGATGACACATTAACTAGTTGGTCTTAGATGTCCTCATTGCCAATGGCATATTATGTTGTTTTTGTCAATATCAGTATTTTGTGTCAAATGTGCAAGAAATTTAAATCTCTTTTCAATGTGTTCAGTGATTCACTTTTCTTCACTAGAGAATTAATTCAAGAGCCTATTTTTTACCATATTCAAAGTTTAGCTTTTTTTCTTAATGAGTTGCTGATTTCATATAATTTGACATTGTTTCTTTTGTTATAATTTGCTTCCTGATGTCAGAATAATTTCCATTGATTTTATTATCTTTCTTTTTTTTCTCATTCCATTAACTTTTTTGGCAGGGGGTGGGGAAGGAGTCTTGCTCTATTTCCCAGGATGGAGTGCAGTGTCTCGATCTCAGCTCATTGCAACCTCTGCCTCCCGGGTTCAAGCAATTCTCATACCTTGAGTATCTGGGATTACAGGCATGTGCCACCATGCCCAGTTAATTTTGTATTTTTAGTAGAGACAGGGTTTCGCCATGTTGGCCAGGCTGGTCTCAAACTCCTGACCTCAGGTGATCTGCCCACCTTGGCCTTCCAATGTGCTGGGATTACAGGCATGAGCCACCATGCCCAGCCTCCATTAATTTTTAAATTTAAATTTGCTCTCAGTTCTTTAATAAATTATTTCATTTTGTAATTTAGCATTTATTGCTTAAATCATGCCAAAATATCTTTTCAAATTGTAGTTAAAATGATTTATTTCTAAGATAGTGTCCCCTTACCAGATGCTAAAATTCTCTGTTGTTATTTCAGTGCCACTCAACAAGAGAAAAATAAGAGATGGGGAGTCAGAAATGGAAACAAACAAACAGTGGTTTAAACACCTGTTGCTAAAATATCCGTTTTTTTCCCCTCAAATTTGAACCATGTAAACACATTGCTAGGTATCATTCCAGGCCAGGGCATTTGAAGAAACATGCAAATGTAGAGTCACTTATGCTTTATAGACTTAAAAATAAACCCATTTCTGAATAAGTAAGTGCTGCAGTGGAAATAGACAGGAATCTGATGACTGTTACAGTAATTACAATACCCATCTTTAATTTATCACAGCCTAATTGGAAATAATATTGTATCACTTCACATTTTAGTCTTAGTTGCATATTTAACACTTTCCATTTCACATATAGACAGAAACTTACAACACTATTATTCCTTTGCTCTTGCCCATTGATATGGTTTCGCTGTGTCCCTACCCAAATGTCATCTTGAATTCTAGTTCCCATAATCCCTGCATGTGGTGGGAGGGGCCTAGTGGGAGGTAATTGAATCATGGGGTGGTTTTCTCCGTGCTGTTCTCATGATACTAAGGTCTCATGAGATCTGAGGTTTTATAAGGGGTTTTCCCCTTCACTCTGTTCTCTTCTCTCTCCTGCCACCATGTGAAGAAGATGTTGCTTCTCCTTCTGCCATGATTGTAAGTTTCCTGAGGTCTCCCTAGCCATGCCGAACTGTGAGTCAATTAAACCTCCTTTCTTTATAAATTACCTGGTCTTGGGTATTTCTTCATAGCAGCATGATAACAGACTAATACACCCATCTTTTGTAGTACTATTCTTATATATTTTACTTCTCTATACGTTGTAACTGCCAGCTTAAAATGATACTATTTTTGCTTTAAATGATCCCTTGTTTTTTAAAGAAATTAACTAAAAAGCAGGGCTTTTATATTCACATACATATTCACCATTCTGATGCTCTTCATTCCTTCTTGTAGATCTGAGTTTCCAGCCTCACCTCCCTTCGGTCTGAAGATTTTTTGTTTTTCTTTAGGGTTTGGTTTTGGTTTGGTTTGGTTGGTTGGTTTTCCATGCAGGTGCAAGTCTGCTGGAGAAGTATTTTGCAGTTTTCATTTAATAGAAAATGTCTTTATTTCACTCTTATTTTTGAAGGACATTTCCACTGGATTTAAAATTCTGGGTTAGGAGTGACATCAGAAAGATGGCAGAATTGGAAGTACTAGTCCTGTTCCCCTACAGAAATGCTGATTAACAATTATATATGGATCAACATATCCTTATGAGAATTCTAGAATCAAGTTAAAAAGTTGCAGTACCCCAGGTGAGCTAAAAGCCAAAACTGCTACATTGAAATGGGTAAGAAGTACAATTTCACTTTACACAATGTCTTAGTCCAGTCAGGCTGCTATAACAAAATACCTTAAACTGAGTAATTTATAAACAATAGAAATTCATTGCTCACAGTTCCGAAGACTGAGAAGTCCAAGGTCAAGGCAATAGCAGATTTGGCATAGAGTGAAAGCTTTTCTCTACTTTATAGATATGGTGCCTTCTATGTGTCCTCTTTTGGTAGATGGGGCAAGCAGGCTCCCTCTAGCCTTTTCTTATAAGGGCACTAACCCCATTCATGAGGGCAGAACTCTCATTACCTAATCACTCCCAAGTCCTCACCTTTTAATGCCATCACCTTGGGGGCTAGGTTTAAATGTAAGAATTTTGGGGGAACACAAACTTCAGACCATAGGGGTCATGTCAGCCCTTCCCCCAAGTGGGCACAGCTCAGAGCTAGGTGAGAATGTCCTGGCTTATGAATTCTTTCTTGGGAGAAAGAAAAAATTGGAGCATGCATCCTCTGTTCTGGCTCTTTGGAGGGTGGCCCAAGGGACTGGTTTCTATCTTACCTCATTGGGAGTGCTGAGGGAACTGTCATAGTTTGGATGCCTGGGAGCCACTAAAAACAAAGAAGAGTTAGGGTAGCTTATGAGCTGCATAAATAACCCTGAGAAATAGCATGGGCAAAAGAATGATCAGGGCCTTGCATTGTTGGCATATATTGTAAGATGTGTTGGAACACAAAAGGCCCTAGAAGGAATGTTCTACTAATTTTTTTTTAGAATTTAGGTAGAAAACGTATTTATAATGACTTTGAAATGGTAGAGCTGTTTTTGAGGACCACAGATGCGTTGGAAGAA